CAAAATATAATTAATCTCAACAAAAACCTCATATATTATACAGATATACTCAACACAGACCATAGAGCTAAATGTACATTGTAAATCTAACACTTAGATGAAAACATAGGAAAAAATCCTCCTGAGTTAAGCAAAGAGTTCTTAGACATGATACCAAAAACACCTCCATAAAAGAAAAAAAGTAATTTAGACTCCCTCAAAATTAAAAACTTTGCTCTGCAACAGACACTGTTAGAAAATAAAAAGATTAAGCTACAGACCCAAAGAAAATACTTTTAAATCACATATTTGATATCTGGATTCAAAATATATATGACCCTCAAACCTAATTGTAATTTACAAAAAAAAAACAACAACTATTTTTTAATGGGAGAAAGACCTGAACTGACACTACATCAAAGGGGGTGTACAGGGGGCAAATAAGCATGTGAAAAGCTGTTCATTCTGCAAAGACCACCCTCCACCTGCCACTGCTACATGATCCCTCTCAAGGTGTTTGGAGCAACCTAAGATTCCTAGGCTCACATCACTCTGCACCAAGCGGTGTCTCTCCCTTGTTGGGACTGATCAATCACCAGAGAGACTAGGAGGAGCCTGAACTCCTTCAGATGAGAATTCAGCCAGATGAGAATTGGATTCCTCAACCCTAACACACAACCTCCAATCAGTCAATAGAAGTAGAATGATAGAATATTCTAGGATAGGAGGTGGGGCCTGTCTGGTCTCCATGGTAATCCCTGGCAGATTGGAGTGAGGGACAGGCCCTATGTTACCTTAGTAGTGTCAGATCCATATGCCCTAATGGAGGTGAGGGGGCAGGGAGAGAATTTATGGGGTGACAGGAGGGAGAAAGAGAGCTAGAGGGAGTGGGGAATGAAGGGGCAAGGAGGGCTTCATTAGAGGGCAGAGAGGGTGTAGAGAATTATTCAAGGAGAATGGATTTTGGGGAACTGGAAGGTTGTAATTAGTGGAGGGAGAAGGAATTCAAAAGATCACCAAGCTCATTTTAGAGGCAGAGAGAAGGTGTTAAGAGGAACTGGTCAGGTCTTTAAAAGTGGACAGAGAAGAGGCTATGAGTGGACAAGGAGAAGACTTGGAGTTTATATTTGCTCAAATAACATCTTAGAGAAGCCAAGTGAGAGGATATGGGGGTGGGGGAAAGGGAGGAATTTATAGATGAACAATAAGGGTCATAACAGGACCATGACAGATGCTTATGGTCAAAATGAGTGGTGTTATTATAAAAGGGACAAGCAGAGACCTATTAAAGACATTAGAAGTATCATAGGGTGAGAGCTTTTAGGGGGACAATGGAGGTTTTACACATGAAAAGTGTGTTAGTGTTGAGTGAGGGTCTTAGTAGGGTGGTTTATAGGGACAAAGAGAAGGTTGTTTGGGGGACAATAAGGGTGTTAATGGAAACAAACTGTAACAATGGGTCAGCTGAGGTACAGGGAGGTCAAGTGAGAGTCCTCAGAATCAGTAGGGACTTTAGGGGAACAGTGGAAGGGGTCAAGTGAGACATGCTGTAGAGAGGAGCAAAGTAGTTACAGAAGACAGGGAGGAGCTTGTAGCAGAAAATGTCACAGAGAACAGAAAGAGGTTATAGGGCATGGGGGTGGGGAGAAGAGAGGATCTGGGAGTTATGGCGTAAAGGTATTTATTAGAGTGGGTAATAAGGTTTGAAGGAAAATGGTGTGAGTTAGAGGGAGTCAGTGAGACTTTTAAAGAGTGTCTGAAGATTTTATAGGAATCAAGGACAGTCAAGGAAGGAAGTTACAGGGAATGGTAGGGTCCAGAAGCCATGCTGAGCTATCACTCACTCCCTTGTCCCCAGGAATCTGAAAGTGTGTCTGATGAGGCCCCCAGTGACCACCTCTTGCTGGCGATCCTGGCCTATCTCCTGTGCTGTCCTTTAGGCACTGCAGCCTTGTACTATTCTTCCCAGGTGGGCATGTGCATCGTGTCAGTCCTCACCCTCCCCTCTCTCTCCATCCTGGCCCTGACCCTGAATCAATTTCACCCATGTTCTCCATCCTGTTGGCTCAGACCCCACCCTGAGTCCTTGCAGCGCCTTCATCCCCACCCCCACCCCCCGCAATAACCCTTTTAAACCCATCTATGCCTGTTCTGTCTCTCCTCCCAAACTCAGACAAGGCGCCACAATCGTAGGAATGAACGAGCCTTGGCAGCCGAGACCTCCCACAAAGTCTTCAGTTTTGCACTGGCAGGAATTATTATGGCATGCATCGCTGCTCTCAACAGCTGGATTATATTAATAATAGCCACTTTTCAACGGTGACCTCATCTCCATGAAGAAAACCACCGGAATATAAATAGTTATTAACCTAGGCTCTCAGTATCCATATGCGCCAATGTCTGGTGTGCCAGGTGTTTTGACCTGAAGCACCTTGGGGTGGCTGACGGAGGAAGGAAGTGATAACTCCCAGAGCTCAAGACCAACCCTGGGGCGCTGCTGAGGGGTGGGGGTCATGGGAGACAGTGTAGCACACTGTTTCCCCAGGGCAGTCTCTGCTTCTGCCCAAACACACACCACAAACCCGTTTATGTCAGCTAAGGGTCTTGACTGAACTACCTGACTTTGGGGATACAGCAGTCAACTTCAGATCAAATCCCCACCCTCTCAGAACTTATAAACCACGGGGGAAGACATATCACCAGCTAGTGACCATCCACAGTGGACCTATCTGTAATCAGAGAAATCTAGTAGGGGATGAAGGAGGCTGGACCTAATCTGGGTACTTGTCGTCTATCAGAAAACTAGGGAATCAAGCATCTGTGGGTGAACTGGCTAGAATTCAAGTCAGGTAGGATTGTAGAGAGCTCACATTACAGTTATGGTTGCCTCGTCCTTTTTCCACCAACACCATTGCTTGTGATTTAGCCATCATTCAACAATGCTTCCTGAGCACCTACTATTTATCAGGCATGATAACAGGAACTACGAATGCAAAAGAACAAAAGAAATCAGACCCCTTTCTGATGGAGCTTACAGACAGAGCTTTAAATAAACAAGATAGTTACAGGGAATGTAAATGCTATGGAGAAAAATAACACAGTGTAATAAGCTCGAGCAGTGCCAGTACCAGTCCACTGACTATTAATGTTAATTACAACAAGCTAGGCAGAAATTTACAGTAGGTGCATTGAAATTTACAGCAATTTGACAGTGTCATGGCCTCCAAGTATAAGATAAAGAGTTTTGTCCTCTTGAACAAAGTATTACCCAAAAGGATCAATACGTGACAGACTGGAGACATAAAAAACAGATCCAATGCCACAGCCAAAACTAGTTTGAGATGCACTGGGCTAGTGGGCACCAAGGTCTAGAAAGTATACTGTTTAGAGTCATGCTAGAGGCTGTAACAAATAAACTCCCTCAAATCAATAGCTCACAAGATACAAGTTTATTTCACATTATCGCAACCTCAAAATGTGGGCATTTCAAGTGACCCACATATAGTTCACAAATCCCATCTCCTTCTGCTTGGTGACTNTCAGAGTCATGCTAGAGGCTGTAACAAATAAACTCCCTCAAATCAATAGCTCACAAGATACAAGTTTATTTCACATTATCGCAACCTCAAAATGTGGGCATTTCAAGTGACCCACATATAGTTCACAAATCCCATCTCCTTCTGCTTGGTGACTCCGCCATCTCCAGAGGGCTCAGAGTACTTTGAACTCAGGTAGAAGAAGACAATAAGACATTTGCTTTTTAATTTTATTTATTTTTGCCTGTGCTGGATCTTCATTGTTACACATGGGCTCTCTCTACTTGTGGTGCGTGGGCTTTTCATTGCAACGGCTTCTCTTGTTGCAGAGTAAGGTCTCTAGGGCATGCAGCCTTCAATAGTTGTAACGCACAGGCTTAGATGCCCTGTGGCTTGTGGGATCTTCCTGGACCAGGGATAGAACCCATGTCCCCGATCTTGGCAGGTGGATTCTTAATCATTTGACCACCATAGAAGTCCTCCACTGTCTTTTTAAAATCCCTGGCCTGAAAGTGAACACTTGTCCACTGTTGGTGGGAATGTGAACTTGGACAACCACTATAGAACACAGGATTGAGGACCCTCAAAAATATAATTTAAATATTAACTGTGATTGTCTAGCATATGATGCAGCAATTTCACTTTTTGGCATATGTACAAAAGAAATAAAATCACTGCTTCAAAAAGACATCTGCTCTCCCTTGATCATTGCAGCGTTAGTCACAATAGGCAAGATAAGGAAACAGCTCAAGTGTCTGACAATGGATGAATGGACAAAGATGTGTTATATGTACAGAAATGAATATTATTAAGCCTTGAGAAATATGAAATTCTGCCAATTAAGACAACATGAATGGACCTTGAGGGAATTACTATAAGTGAAGTAGGTCAAATGAGAAAAATAGAAATATTGTATGATATCACTTATATAGAGAATATTTAAAAAAACATAGAAACTGAAAACAGAATGAAGGTTGTCAGGGGCTAGAAGGTGGGGGACAGGCTGGTAAAAAAAAAAAAAGAAAATTTCAGTTATAAGGTAAATTTGGTCTGAAGGTCTAATATATAACATTGTAACTATGGTTAACAATACTGCATTTTGTACTTAAAATCTGCTAGGAAAGTAAATCTTAAGCATTCAACACTCCCCCAAAACATCAAGAGGTAGCTGTGTGTGCTGATAGATGTGTTAATTAATTTGGTTATGGTAATAATTTTACTACCAACATGATACAAATGAACAATCGTAACAAAACAGAAAAAGAATCATACATACAGAAGGGGGTGGGGGAATAAGTGGAATAGGTAAGGGAAAACTAAGAGGTACAAAGTCCTAGTCAAAAAATAAATGAATCACATTTATGTACAGCATGGGGAATATAGTCAGTAATAACATAATATTTTTTATGGTGATGGATGATAACTAGACATCACAGTGGTTATATTGTTCTGTATAGAAATATCAAATCATGATATTGTTCTCACATCCATACAAGACTACTGGAAAAACCATAGCTTTGACTAGATGGACCCTCAAGGCACTCCTGGAATTGATCAGTCACCAGAGAGAGTAGGAAGAGGCTGAGCTCCTTCAGACCAATCAGCAGCCACCTGAGTATTGGCTTACCCTAGTCATCACACACAACCTCCAATCAGCCAATAGAAGTAGAATGATAGACTAGGAGGCGGGGCCTGCCTGGTCTCCACGGTGATCTCTGGATAGTGAAGGAAAGGCTCTATGTAGCCTTGGTAGTACCAGATCCAGTTGCTGTAATGGGGTGTTTGAAGGGGCAAGGAGAGAATTTATGGGGTGACAGGTGGGAGGAAGAGAGTTAGAGAGGGTGGGGTGAATAAAGGGGGGAAGTTTCATAAGGGGACAGTTTTATAAGTAAAGAAGTATCTAGAAGGAGCACAAGTTTAGGAAAACAGGGAGGTTGTAATTAGTGGTGGGAAAAGGAGTTCAAAGGATCACCAAGTTGGTTTCAGAGGTAGAAGGTTTCAGTGGGGGACAGGGCAAATCTTTATAAAGGGGTAGAGAAGAGGCTGTAAGTGGAAATGGAGGGAACTTTAGTTCACAAGTTGGTCAAATAACAGAGGAGCCAAGTGAGGAGTTATGGTGTGAGGGGGAGAAGGGAGAAGTTTATGGATGAAAAATAAGGGTCACAACAGGATCATGACAGATTCACAAGGACAAAATGAGTGGTATTATTATAAAAGGGACAATGAAATGAAATGATTGTTGCTCAGTCATGTCCAACTCTTTGCAATCCCATGGACTGTAGACTGCCAGGTTCCTCTGTCTATGGGATTCTCCAGGCAAGAATATAGGAGTGGGTTGCCATACTCTTCTCCAGGGAATCTTCCCGACCCAGGGATCAAACCTGCATCTCTTACATCTCCTGCATTGCAGGCAGATTCTTTACCGTCTGAGCCAGCAGGGAGGCTACAAAGGGGACAAGCAGAAAATTATTAAAGACATTAGAAGTATTACAGGGACTCCCCTGGTGGTCCAGTGGCTAAGACTCCTTGCTCCAAATGCACTGGGCCTGGGTTCAATCCCTGGTCAAGGAACAAGATCCCACATGCTGGAACTAAAAATCTGAAGTGTCAAAACTAAGACCCAGCACAGCCAAACAAATAAATGTTTTTAAAAAGACATTCAAAGTATTATAGGGTGAAAGATTTTAGGGGGACAATGGAGGTTTTACACATGAAAAGTGTTGAGTGAGGGTCTTCTTAGTTGGGCAGTTTACAGAGACAAAGAGAAGGTTGCTTGGAGGACGAGGAGAGTGTTATGGAAACAAAGCATGACAGTGGGTCAGCTGAGGTACAGGGAGGCCAAGTGAGAGGCCTCAGAGTCAGCAGGGAATTTAGGGGGACAGTGGGAGAGGTCAAGGGAGACAAGCTATAGAGATCAGCAAGCAGTTATAGAAGACAGAGAGGAGCTTACAGGGGAAGGGGAAAATGTTACAGAGAACAAAGGGATTCTAGGGAATGCGGGTGTGGTGGGAGGTTGCTACCAGGTCTAGTGGTCAGGGGGGTATTAAAAGAGAGAGGGAGATGTTAGGGGGAGACAGTGAGCATTTGCAAGGGCTAAGGGGGTGGTCAATGAAGAATTTATAGGAGCCACAGGGAGATGTGTTGGTGGAAAAAGGGAAGAGGTCAGAGAGAATATGAGAGACCAGAGGCTATACCGAGCCATAACCCACTCCTTCCCCAGGTGTTTGAAATTATGTCAGAGGCGTCACCCAGCGAGGACGACATCATGCTGCCATCCGTGGGCTGCTTCATGTGTTGTCCCATATGCACGGTAGCCATGTTCTACTCTTCCCAGGTGGGAATCTGCATCTTGCGAATCCCAGCCCTCCCCTCCCTCTATCTGGTTCTGACCCTGAACCACCTTCCTTGTCCTTCCTCCTTGGATTCAGGCCCCTACCTTGGATCTGTACACTCCCAATGGCTCACCCCCATTCAATAACCCTTATAAGCTCATCATACCCATTCTGCCTTTCCTCTCAGACTCAGACAAGATGACTCAAAAATAAAATGAACAGTTTTGCGGGGACAGTGGAAGGGGCCAAGTGAGGAATGCTGTAGGGGTGTGCAAGGCAGTTAGAGAAGATGGTGAGGAGGTTGTAGGTGGCAGGGAAAGGGTTATAGAGAACAGAGAGGGATTAGAGGGTGTGCGGGTGGGGTGGGGGGTAAATGAGTTCTAGGGGACATCAAGGTATTATAGTAAGGTTAAAGGGGGTACGGTGCAACTAGTGGGGGTCAATGAGACATTTTTAAAGAGTGTCAGTAAAGATTTTGTAGGATCCAAGCAGGGTGAAAGGTAGGAGGTATTGGGAAACATAGAGTCCAGAAGCCACACTGAACCATAACCCACTCCTTCTCCCCAGGCTTTTGAAATTAGGTCTAACAAGCCCCCCAGTGACCACCTCTTGCTGGCGATCCTGGCCTATCTCCTGTGCTGTCCTTTAGGCACTGCAGCCTTGTACTATTCTTCCCAGGTGGGCATGTGCATCGTGTCAGTCCTCACCCTCCCCTCTCTCTCCATCCTGGCCCTGACCCTGAATCAGTTTCATCCATGTTCTCCATCCTGTTGGCTCAGACCCCACCCTGAGTCCTTGCAGCACTTTTGCCCCCTCCATGAACCCTTTTAAACCCATCTGTTCCTGTTCTCTCTCCTCCCAAACTCAGACAAGGCGCCACAACCGTAGGAATGAACGAAACTTGGCAGTCAAGACCTCCCACAAAGTCTTCAATTTCGCTGTCTCAGCAATTGTTTCGGGATGCGTCATCATACTCCTCGCCATGAGTGTATTCTTAACAATCTTATTTACGCGGTAACTTCCTCTCCAGGTCATGAAAAAGCAACCAAAAAAATATACAACAGTGTGTCTTACCTTGGCTCTAGGTGTCCACTGGGGCCAAATGAGACTCCTGCCTCTCAGTGTCTGGCGTTCTGAGTGCTCCCAACCTGAGCCAGTACCATGAGGTGGTTGTTGGGAGAAAGAAAGTGGTAGTTCAGGCAGCCCCTTAAACCAGAGCTCAAGACCAACCTAGGGACCCCGCCAAGATGTGGGCCATGGGAGACAGGGTAGCATACTGACTCCCCACAGCAGCCTCCCCTCTGCCCACATTCACGCATTGATGCCATAAATCTACCTATGTTGACCAAGGACCTAGACTGTGCTGCATGACTCTGGGGACAAAATCTACTTATGTTGACCAAGGACCTTGACTGTGCTGCATGACTCTGGAGACATAGCAGTCATCACTTGAGATCAAATCTTACACCTTCAGAATCTCATAATCTAGGCTGGAAGACAGACATATCACTAAACAGTGACAGTCCATAGTGACCCCATCTCTAAAGGGGAAAACTTAAAGAGAGGGATTGTAGGAGGCTGGACCTAATCTGGGATACTTGTGGGTCTATCAGAAAACCAGGGAGTCAAGCAGCTGTAAGTGAACTGGCTAGAATTCAGACCAGGTGGATCACAGACAGCTTCCATGACAGTCTCCTCCCCCCACCAACACCATTGCTTGTGATTCAAAAGTCAACAATACTTTCTGAGCACCTACTATGTATCAGGCACTAGACTGAGAAGTAGGAAGGCAACAGAGCAAAGTAAACCAGACCCCTTTCTGATAGAGCTTAAGTTCCAGTGGAAAGAAAACCATAAACAAATAGACCTCTAAATAAACAAGATAATTACAGGGGACAGTAAATGCTACAGAGAAAAATAACAGAGTAATAAGCTAAAGCAATAATGTAATGAACATTAACAGCTGGCCAATCAAACTGCTAATGTTCATTATAAGACAGGTGCAGGAATTGACAGTAGGTGCTTTGAAACTTATAGCAATTTGATGTCATCATGACATCCAAGTATAAGGTCAAGAATTTTGTCAGACAAAGTATAGACCAAAAGGATAATCCATGACAGATTGAAAATGAAAGTCGTTCAGTCATGTCCGATTCTTTGTGACCCCATGGACTATACAATCCATGGAATTCTCCAGGCCAGAATACTGAAGTGGGTAGCCTTTCCCTTCTCCAGGGGATCTTCCAAACCCAGGGATCAAACCTCAGTCTCCCACTTTGCAGGCAGATCCTTTACCAACTGAGCCACAAGGGAAACCCAGGAATACTGGAGTGGGCAGTCCATCCCTTCTCCACTGAATCTTCCCGACCCAGGAATCGAGCCTGCATTGCAGGTGGATTCTTTACCAACTGAGCAGTCAGGGAGGCCCTCCATGACAGATTGGAGACACCAAAAACAGGACCTATGCCACAGTCACAAATAGATTGAGATGCACTGGGCTAGTGGGCACTGAGGTCTAAAACATATATTGTTCAGAGTCATGATAGAGGCTGTAAAAAATAAACCCTCACCAAATCAGCAGCTCACAAGATACAAGTTTATTTCACACTATCACAACCTTTCCATGTGAGTATTTCTAGTGACCCATAGATTAAGCCAGGGAACCATGCTCCTTTTATTTGGTGATTCCACCATCTCTTAAGGGCTTAGAGTCCTTTGAGTCTGGGCAGAGGATGAAAGAGTTAAAACCTCCACTTGTTCCTTAATATCCTTGGCCTGCAAGGGAATCCTTGTCCACTGTTGGTAGATTGTAAATTTGAACAGCCACTATGGAAAATAAGACGTGTGTGTGTTTAGTCGCTAAGTTGTGTCCAACTCTTTTTCAACCCCAAGGACTGTACTCCACTAGTCTCCTCTGTCCTTGGGGTTTCCCAGGCAAGAATACTGGATTAGGTTGCCCTTTCCTTCTCCAGGGGATCTTCCTGACCCAGGGATCAAACCCAAGTCTCCTACACTGCAGGTGGATTCTTTAACACTGAGCCACCAGGGAAGACCAGAAAATAGGATGGAGGTCCTAAAATATTAAAATTATAACTACATATGATGCAACAATCTCACTTCTGAATATACATCCAAAGGAATAAAATCACTATCTCAAAGTGATATCTGGAGTTCCATATTCATTGCAGCATTATTCATAATAGACAAGACATGGAAACAAACTAAGTGTCCATCGTCAACTTAAGAAATAAAGAGGATTTGGTATCTACATACAAAGAATAATTATTAATCTGTGAGAAATATGAAATCCTGCCATTTGAGACAACACAGATAGACCTTGATGGTGTTATGAAAAATGAAAAAAGTCTGACAAAGACAAGTACTGTATGATATCACTTACACATGGAATCTTAAAGAAAACAAATTCATAAGAACAGAAATTAGGTGTGGAGAAAAGGGAACTCTCTTACACTGTTGGTGGGAATGCAAACTAGTACAGCCACTATGGAGAACAGTGTNCCACTACAATATTGTAAAGTAATTAGCCTCCAACTAATAAAAAATAAAGGAAAAAAAATAAAAGAACAGCAATTAGAGTAATGGTTGCCAGAGGATAGAAGGTGGTGAGGAAAAACAGATAGGCTGGTAGGGAATTCCCTGATGGTCCAGTGGTTAGGACTCAGTGCTTTCACTGCAGAGGCCACAGATTCCATCCCTGGTCAAGGAACTAAGATCCCATAGGTGAGGCCACACTGTCTCCCAACGGAAGAAAAAGAATAAGCTGGTAAAAAAAAAAAAAGTTTGTATCATATACAAACTTTCAGTTATATGATAAATAAGGTCTGAGGGGCTAATAGATAATATAGTAACTGGAGCTAACAATACCATTTGGTGTACTTATAATTGATTAAGAAAGTAAATCTTAAGTGTTCTCCCAACCCCCCCCCCCAAAAAAAAGGTGAAAAAAAGGAAACTGTGAGCTGATGGATGTGTTAATTAACCTCAGTAGGTAAAAATTTCACTATAGACATGTATATCAAATCACCATGTTGTACATTTTAAATATATTACAATTTTATCTGTCTCATATACTTCAATAAAGCAGGGGAAGGGTTTTGAAATAAAACTTTGGTCTTAAAGTAACACGCATCACTTTTTTTCTTAATCACTTTTGTCTCAGTCTTGTACAGAAGTAGTCTTATGGTCTCAACTGGATGTAGGGGCCTCTGAGATAAAGACCCCAGACAGATCCTGAGACGTTCCCAGACCCTGAGACAAAGCCCAACTGCAGGATGTCCAGATGCTGGCTGAGAAGCCAGCAGCAGACAAGGACCCACAGGCTCCACAGATGTTGAAAATTCAGGGCAGCCTCTGGCTGAGGATCACACAGGCTCCTCTGCTACCCCGGTCAGCTTTCCACCCCTGGCATCCTGGCTTGCCTCACCTCTCTCCAAATGCCCAGCACACCGCACCGTGTCCCAGCCTCAGGGCCAGCACCAGCCTCTGGGGAGCCCTTGTGCAAGTCAGAAGAGGTGCCCATTCACCTGGGCAACTGAAGCAGTTCCCATGCGCTCCCCTGCCAGGACAGGTCATGAGCAATGGGTACAAAACTGAAACAGCTCTAGGTGGCAGCCCTGCCCAACCACTGTCACTGACCCCCATGTGCTTCTTCCTCCCCATCTCTCCCCACAACCTGCAGACCCAGAGAGTCACCCTCCAGGGAGACGTGTTCTGAGCCCAGGTCAGCTCTGCCACCACCCTCTGCTTCAATGCCTGTTCTGCCCTCTGCACCTTCATTACCTTGTTCTTGATCATTTTCTATTGCAGCTGTGGTCATGGCCTTGGACCAGGACTGACAGACTCATCTTCATCTCAGGCAGTAGGACAGAAGAAGAGTGGGGGGAAAATGAAATGCTTACTCCATTTTAAGACACTTTCAGGAAATTTTACACACACACTTATACACAAACCTATTCTGCTGCCATCACATTGGCCAGAATTTAACTACAAGGCCTCTGGCTACCTCCCAGGGAACCTGGAAAATAGTCTATTCCAGGATGCCAAGTACCTGGATAAAATGAGAATTTCCAGTTTGGGGACTACCTATATATGCCACCTTAATTCTAGTCTGGAGGAACAAGTGTACCTGTGATAGTTTTTGTTTGGAAGACTGAACATCAGGAATGAAAACTAAAAGAATTAAAATGGCAGTTGGAGAATATGCATTGGTATGAATCTAACCAACTTCCAATAAGTCTCATAAAAACCCAAGATGGAAGTGTATGTGATTACCATGCTGAGTGCAAGACCTTGTACTGGCTTGATTTTATCTGGCCTCGAGTATTGTCTGTAGAACTGTCTGTCCATGACTTGATGTTATGTTAGAAAAGATTTCTGCTGGTTAACATGAAACAAACAAAAAAGCCAAGATGAACAAAGTTGTTCTCCCCTCTGTGGCACATTTACAGTGTCCATGTGCTTCTCCGTGTGTCTAATTACAGATGGAATTGCTCTTACCTGTGTCAGCTGAGGAGGAGGGCAGGGCAACCCACTCCAGTATTCTTGCCCGGAGAATCATATGGACAAAGAAACCTGGCGGGCTACAGTCCCTAGGGTCACAAAGAGTCAGACATGACTGAAGGGACAGCACAGCATGGCACATGTCGGTTGAGAGGGTTTAGAGTTACTCAGGTTTGAAGTTGGCTGCACTGTTCTTAAAATTTATCTGGAACATTGAGTCAATGTCTGTGTTTTTAAAATATAGGATGGATCATTTACAATCTGGGGTCATGGAAATTCGGATTTATAAACACAAAGTGTAATTCCCAGGCATTTGTTTTTTTATTTTTCATTGGCATATAGTTGATTCAAAATATTGTGTTAGTTTCAGGGGTACAGCAAAGTGATTTAGTTATTCATATATATATTCTTTTTCAGATTATTTTCTCATATAGGTTATTACAGAGTATTGAGTACAGTTGCCTATGCTATACAGTAGGTCCTTGTTGATTATTTATTTTACATATAGTAGTGTGCATAAGCCATTTATTTTTTAAACCCTAAAGAAAAAAATTATCTTGCCTTTAATCATTTTTACTTACAGAATTTACCCTGTTGCTCTTTTTATTAACTTAATCTTTCAGAACTTTATCAAAGTATAATTGACAAGACATGGTATTTTAAAATACAATGTGATGAGTTTTGACACAAGTAATACACCCATGAAACTATTACCACAATCAAGATAACGAACACATTCATCACCTCCAACTTATTTCTCCAGCCACTTTGTCATCCCTCCCTCCCATCTCTCCCCAGGTGACTACTGATCTGTTTTCTGTCGCTATAGATTAGTCTGTATTTTCTAGAATTTTATGTAACTGGAATCACAAAGTATGTGCCCTTCTTTTCTCTGCTATCTTTCAGTCAGCATAATTATTTTGAGATTCATCAATGCTGTTCCATTATCAATAGTTCATTATTTTTATTGCTGACTACTTCATTATATGATTATGCCACAGTCTGTTTATCTGTTAACCTGTTAGTGGACACTACGACGGTTTCCAGTTTTTGCTAATACAAATAAAGCTGCTGTGAGCATTCAAATACAAGTATTTGTATGGGTATGTGGGTACATGCTTTCATTCCTTACATATAAATAACTAAGAGTGGGATGGCTAGATCATATGTTAGACACATATTTAGCTTTTAAGAAATTGCCAAAGTGTTTTTCCAAAGTGGTTGTACTATTTTACATTCCTATAAGCCATTCCAATTGCCCCACATCTTTGCCAAGGCATGGTATGATTAGTCTTTTCATTTTAGCCATTCTACTAGTTATGTAATGATATCTCACTGTGATTTGAACATGCCTTTTCCTAGTGACTAATACTATTGAGTATCTTTCTGACTACTTATTTACCATCAATACTTGGTGAAGTGTTTGTCAAATGCTTTTCTTTTTTTCTTTTTCTTTTTTTTGCTGCAACAAGTGGCATACAGGATCTTAGTTCCCTGACCAGGCATGGAATCTGTGAGCCCCTGCAGTGAAAGCATAGAGTCTTAAGCACTAGACTACCAAGGAAGTCCCTTGCCCATTTTTATTGGATTGCTTCTTTTCTTTTTTAAAAAAATATTTATTTATTTGGCTGTGCCAAGTGTACTTTCCTGATCAGGG